CTCTCAGCAGAAATTGCTCTGCGGAAATGTTTCCAAACTCTAGATGTTGGTCTCACCATTTTACTGAGAGGAGGAAAAGGAAAACCAATTTACTGACCAGACTATAGGTAACCATTATGCTGTGATGGTGAACAATAGAAATGATTTAAAGGTTATAAAGATGAACTCACTTGTCAGATAGATTTACCCTCTTACCTGTCAATTAAAGTCTGAGAGAACAAAAACTATCATCTACTATATCCCAACAATCACCTAACTGCGGGAGGTACAAGATGGAATCCACAAGCAAACTAAACTTTTTCCCTGCAGTGCCCTCTAGTGGCAAACATCCATATTTCTCTTGTTTGAGAATTGCATGGAGAAGTAAAGTGTTACTTGAATTGTATTCCAGGATTTGCTTATCTTCTGAGAGAACTTGAAATAATTTAAGACTTTACTTAAAGTCTTAGAAATCTTTCATTAAGTATATTGAGAAGTATAGCGAATTTGGCTTTGCTTCTCCTATGGATCACAGGAGCGCAGTTCATTCTGCACTCCTGTGATCTGTTTCCAGCTGACAGTAGGGTAAAGCTCACTGTTGGCTGACGTCACTTAGCCAGTCCAGGCTCAGAAAAGATCCTAAGTTTAAAGTTGAGATGCACCCAGATGCCTGGACCAGCAGCTTGCTAGGCCTTTCAGGCAATCCTCTAAGAGCCTGTGCCAGCAGCTACCACATCCTTCACAGCTCAATGCTCCAGTGAGTGCTGGAGGGGCAGAGCAGAGAGTCAGTGACTGCAGCCACCAGCTCTCTGCAGGCTGAAGTCCAAAAGCTGAGCGATCAGCTGTGTTTGATCACTCAGTTCTTGGTCTTAGAAGCGGTGGGGGACAGCTGCAGCTGGGTTCGGTGCTTCAGCCATCTAGGTGAGTATGATTGTGTATTATTTTTTAAAACCATACTTCTCTTCCTGTAAGACAGAAAAAAGGGAAAAAAAACTGTGATATACCCCAGAAAGGAAAATGACACACTTCCCTGCTTTAATGTTGTGAATTTGGCGGAAAAGAAACAAATGAATTTTGTATGAAAAAAACTGTGATATACCCCAGAAAATATGTTAAATGTGTGAAAAAAATAATAGAAACAATAGTGAAACAATTAGTGAACTGCTGCTACTCTTTCCTGAACACCAGAAAGTACAAAACATATAAAAAATGAGCTGTACTGTACACTAAATAATCATAAACAATAATCAAATAAATGCTGCTACATAAAAACGTGCATAAATTAATTGAAATGATATAAATCCACATTAATATATTAAATAACAGTAGCTGTGTGCTAAAGAAATCCTCCAACGGAAAGTGCAGAGGTGTCCACAAATGCTTGACACAAAAAAAGACTCCTTTTGTGTCAAGCATTTGTGGACACCTATGCACTTTCCGTTGGAGGATTTCTTTAGTACACAGCACAATTTTACTGGATGTTGGGACTTTTAATTATTTAATATATGAATGTGGACTTATATCATTTCTATTAAGTTATGTACATTTTTTATGTAGCAGCATTAATTTGATCGATTATTGTTTATGATTATTTAGTGTACAGCGCACTCATTTTTTATATACTTCTCTTCCGTTATATAGTTTGACTACCATGTCATAGATATAGTATTTATCATTGTAAAAGAACATATTCCACACTCTTTTTTTTTAATTTTTCTGGAAAAAACAAAAAAACAAAAATGGCTTTGGAAAAAAAAACGGAGGAGAACCTGTTTTCTCCCAATTTTTCTGTTTTTTTTTTTTCCCCAGGTCTTCTCATCTCTACATTCACCCCTATGGACCAGTGGGTGTAAACGAACCTGTATCCATTTACACCCTCCTACCTCCAATCCAATTCGGTCTGGTTAATAAAAAGAAGAGTATCCATCCTCCTCCGTGTAGGTGGATCACATGGTAGTTGAGCGGAAATGGACAGTGAAGTGTCAGAACAGAGTGGTCTGTGTTCATATGTCCGCTCTGCAGAAACAGAGCGGACATGTACCTGTCACCCGCCTGCTCTGCTCCAATCAGCAGGGGATCAGTGGACAGATCCCCTGCTGAACAAATCAGATTCTGCCGCGTGTGAAAGGGGTCTAATTAGGGTAAAAACATGATCCCTAGAACTGCTGGAATGGCTGCATAGGCACTGACAGTTCATCACCCATGGAGGCAAGTACAGCAGGGACTGGTGGGGTGTAGAGTGTTGATTCACCTTCTCATTTTTTCTGAAAAGGTAATCTTACACTTTAACCTCTTGGTGCCGGCCGAACGCAAATGTGCAGCCTCCTGGCGTCTGGGCCTAGACACTGAGCGGCCGTACATTTGTGTTATATTAGAAAAAACATATGTGCTGAGGGCACCCTGCACGCTCCCAGCACACACGTTCAGTACTCATGGAAAGGTCCCGATCTCCTCTTTTGATCAGGATCTTTTCCGATCATGTGACCGATGTGACAGCGAATCACGGTGGTCACGTGACCCTAAAACCCCGCCCCGCCTCCCGGCTTTTGGAACCCTTAAAGGGCCGGGAGCTGCCGGCACCAAGGGGTTAAAGCGGAGTTCCACTCACACTGTAAAAAAATAAAAGCAGCTACAAAAACTGTAGCTGCTGACTTTTAAAAAACAGCCACTTACCTGTCCCGTGGTGTGTCCCCTGCAGCCCGTTTCACTGGCCGTCCTGTATTCCAGGAGGCCGGCATCTTCAGTGTGGGCACCCGGCTGTGATAGCTTGTGGCTTCACAGCTGGGTACCCACTGTGCATGCGCCAGTAGTGCTGCGCTTCATGAATGGTCCTGTAGTCTTCTGGGACCTGTCAAACAAAACTACAGGGAGGGAGGACACCTTCCACTTCCGATCGCCCAGACAATCGGACTGGAAGTGGTACCCATTCCCCCCGCTCCCCAAAGGTGTCAATCCTTAGTGGGGAGCGGGGGAGCAGTCCTTAAAGCGGAACTTCTCTTTTGGGTGGAGTTCCACTTTAAGCCCTGATAAAGCGGGGAATGTATTGGCCCTTGAAACTTTTTGACCGTTTTCAATGATCGTAAATAAAAAGCATCCATTTGGTTTGCACTCTTTTCCGTTTCTCGATATGCTGAGCTGCTTGTGGGCACCCACCATGGGGAGCCTCGCTTTATACAAGTGGTCATGCCAGTTATGCGTCATAAAGTGCCTCTTGAATACATCTTTTTGGAATTTACTTAATAAATAGCAAGCATGGGAAATGTTTGGTGGGATAAAAAAACCTGTTTGTATTGTCAACAACAAGACTGCAATAAACTATAATTGAAGTTTTTATTTATGGCGTTTGATCCCAGACACACAATCCTATCCACAATGGTGTATGCGTTCCTTACATTATAAAGAGATCTCCTTTCACTCAGGGCAGGGCAGTGACACCACGGAAAACTTTCACCTTGTTCAATTAAGCTTTGACAATAAAACCTGGAAGCTGATTGGTTCCTATGCAGAGCTGCACCAGATTTTGCACTCTCCAGTTTTAGTAAATCTCCCCCATTGCGTCAATTCACTCAAAGCTCGACTCCAAGCAAAACTTTATTTTTATTCTCGAACAGTCTGCTCTAGCACTTTGCTAGTTACTAAAGACACAGACACAGCTTCATGCACAGTTCTTCTGTGACATCACAAGGACTGTGAGAACAGGAACTTGGATTTTGCAGGCATTAAAATATGACATCACTTCCCTGCTTTACAGTGTTTTGAATTTGGCGGAAAAGAAAAAAATGGAGAATTTTAAGTATAACTCCAGCCAAAACCTTTTGTTTTAGTTCTTGAAAGAATGGGAGCGGATACAACCTCTGTCAGCTTTAGGCTCCATGTACACTGCGGCTGATAAACGCACGTTTAGGAGCTGTTCAGCGTTTTTTTTTTTTCAGCAGCCCCTGAACTCTCCCTAATGTTTCCTCTGTGTCCATGTACACATCTTCGTTTACAGTCGTTTACAGACAGTTGAGTTTACAGTCGTTTTTTTGAACGCACCAAACTGTATTATTATTATACAGGATTTATATAGCGCCAACAGTTTGCTCAGCGCTGTACAATATAACTTGCGTTCAGTAGATTTTATCAGCGTTTCAAACGCTTGTAAACGCGGCTAACCGCATTTATAAGCGTTTGTGTTTGAAATTTTTTTTTAACTCTTCCATTTCCAGATGCTGTCCGGAGCCTTTTTTCATCATGAAAAATGCATGCAAAGCGTTTTCCCGGTACTCAAATGGACCCGGTACACCATACTTTGAGGTTTCGCATGAAAGAAAATATGTTAGACACTGCTGCAATAATTTCTGCGCAGAAATGAGCCGGAACATCCAAACACCACAAAAAAAAAACCCCCACTAATCTCAACACATACTGCTCTCTCTGCTTCTGCTCTCTCTATTTCTCTCAAAAGGTCTGAAATAGTTAATTTTTTACTGTTTTTCAGTGCATTCTGGGCATTTGGGAAGGTCTCCTGAGGTTATCTTTAAAAAACGCTTCTAAACGTAAACATTCATAAACGCGGTATGCAAACACACCTAAACAGACGTTTTTTAACCTACGTTTTCCAGCAGTCAGTTTCCATCGTTCAGAAGTGTCCCGTGTACATGGAGCCTTACTGCTTTATATGTTGGGGAGATTTCTTCCCACTTCCTGTTTCAGTGACAAATGTCATTGGGGCAGGAAGTAAAAAATATCTTAATATGGACAGAGCAGCAAAAACACTTTTTTTTTTAGTAGTTTGGGGAAGGCTAGAACCTCTCTCAACTTTTAATAAAGTCTTTTCCCCCTTGGGAGACTTAACCCCACTACTTCTCCTGGTAACCATGCTATCACAGGACAGCAGTAGGGGTAAATCTCCCAAGTAAGTACACAGGGAGCAATAAAATTCTGACAAAGATACGAACAGTTCTCTACCCTATCCTAAAGGAAAAAAAAAGCTGTGAGTGGAGTTGCACTTTAAATGCAGTATGATAGGGAGGGCGGGATTACTGGGGCAGCCAGTCTTTAGGGCTGGAGAGGCGTGTCCTTCTCAAGGGGTGGATGTGCTCCTGGCGGACGTACGGTCTGGACAGGATGTCTTGCAACTTCTGTTGGTATGATTTCTCCACCAGTAATCCAGATTCATACTCTCGACGCTCCTCCTCCTTTTCCGCCTCCCGCAACTGTTGCTGGTATGCCACCTGAGAGAGAAGCTGGTGCTGGTACTGCTGGGCTGTCTTCACCGTCCTATAGGTACAGTCATCAAAACAATATCACTTTAACCACTTCCAGTCCGGACACTTTCACCCCCTTCCTGTCCAGGCAATTTCCAGCTTTCAGCGCTATCACACTTTGAATGACAATTGCGCGGTCATGCAACACTGTACCCATATGAATTTTTTAGCATTTGTTTTGAGACAGATAAAACTTTATTTTGGTGGTATTTATTCACCAATGGGATTTTAATTTGTTTGCTATATAAATGAAAAAGTCCAAAAATTTAAAATAAAAGTGTTTTTCTTTTGCAAATAAATAATATTTCTTCATAAATCTTGGTCAAAATGTATTCGTCTATCTTTTTAGTTAAAAAAAATAGTTTAAAACAAAAAATTTGAATTTTTCAAATTTTTTTTTTCATTTTAATTTTATTTTTTTTATATTATTATTTATGCTTTTTTTTTTTTTTTTTTTACAAACTGTCACCCTAGCAGTACAGTGTCACCATAGTATTTGTGATGAAGATTGTTTTTTCTTTTTTTACACTGATTGCTCTTACACCCATAAAGGCTGTAAAAGCAATCATTTCTCCTCTCCGGCTGCATTCCTGCAGCCATTGAGAAATACTGTGTGAGCTGTGATTGGTCACAGCTTGTCACATGGTACAAGGCCAGGGGCGGACTGACAACTCATGGGGCCCCCGGGCAATAGGGGATCATGGGGCCCCTGTGTCCTCGCCCACACTCAAACAACACCCAAAAAAGCCTATGAAAAGGTACCAGCGGCATCTCATGGGGCCCCCTACTGACCCCGGGCCCTCGGGCAGTGCCCGAGTTCCCAAATGGTCAGTCCGCCCCTGTACAAGGCTGTTGTGAATTGCCTTGTACCATGTGATCTCTGTGATCATTCAGATTTCACTAGTAGTAAGTAATGATGTCAGGAAGTGAGATCTTGTTTACTACAATTCATGTGATCACTGATTGGCCAAACAGTGATCACATGAATCAGGACCTCACACAGAGGTCCCGTACAGCGATCTGTGTTCCGCTGTATCTGGTGGACACAGTGGCCACAGATTGCGGCGCAGTGCGCGCTCCCAGGAGTCGCGCACAGGCAATGGATGTGGGGGGGGGGGACATTTAGAAATGTCCTCCTGCATCGGCAGCACTCCCGTCCGTCCGTTTATAGACATGGTCCGGACGGGAAGAGGTTAAGCAAGATACATTGAGTTCCTGCTGCCAAAACTGACATGAATAATGATACCCATATAGGTTCCGCCTGTAGATTTTCACTTGTTTTTGAGGACACGCTCCTCCCAAGGGCAGAGTTCCTCCCAAGGGCAGAGTTCCTCCGAAGGGCAGAGCTCAAACCAATGTACTAAGGGGCATGGAGGACCTCAGCTATGAGGGATGGTTATCTTAACTGATTTTTTTCGTTCTTGAACAAAGGTGACTTGTGGAGGATCTGGTCACTGCTTTGCATTACGCTGTGTTTCTTTGGACTCCACAGGGTTGATTTACTAAAACTGGAGAGTGCAAAATCTGGTGGAGCTGTGCATGGGAGCCAATCAGCTTCTAACTTCAGCTTGTTCAGTCAAACTTTGACAATAAAACCTGGAAGCTGATTGGTTTCTATGCAGAGCGGCAGCAGATTTTGCACTCTCCAGTTTTAGTAAATCAACCCCAACGTTTCCTACTACGATGTGTTTAACCCCTTAACGCCAACGTAACACAACTATGCGGCCTCACAGAACTGGGCTTTTTTCCGTGGGTCCGTATATTTGCGTACCTGTCTTTCTGCTGGGGGGGCGAACCACACGGCGTGCTCTCAGCACAAAGACCGCGGTGTCACTGAGAGCTTCGGGTCCCATTGTAACGATCGGGACTCCCAATTCCGGGTCACGTGATCGCTGTGATAGGGTCACATAGGGTCCTCATAGGGTCACAGTGATCAGTCACTGTATAACCCGGCCCCCTTGTTTTTTTTTCTCTCTCTATGAACAGAGGAGAGCGATACATTGTATATTTCTAACTCTTAGCATAGAGGGAAAAAAATGTTTGTAAAAAAAAAAAGATAAATAAACATTAAAAAAAGAAAAGAAAAAATAAAGAAAAAATACCTAGATCAAGGTTTGATCTAGGTATTTTTGATCTAGGTTTGATCTAGTTCAGTACCAAGGTAAGTGTTTGGGTCAAGGTCAGGGTCAAATGTCAAGGTCAAAAAGTCAGGGTCAAAGGTCAGCATTAAAAAAAAAATTGGTGTCAGTGTGTTTTAGGTAAAAAAAGACAAAAACAAAATGCACACTATTGTTTCTGGTCTGTACTCCGGGTACAAACAACAAATAACATACACATATATGGTATCGCTGCGATCCTCAAGAGCTGGAGAATTTATTTTGGGCTGTTCTTTGGTGGTAGGTTATGGTAGTAACAAGAAACACACAGCTAAATAAAAAAAAATGATTTTTTTTTACTATTTTGGGCCAGTTTTCCTTTGATAATAAAAAAAATCAGGAGATATCCATTACCATTTACCACCAAATGAAAGCCCAATTTGTCCTGAAAAAAACGCGGTATAATCCACCTGGATGTACAAAGTAGTTGTGATGATATGTGCGGTATAACACGTCAATGTTGCACAATTGTGCTTAGGCATTTAGATTTGTTTTACCCTTAGGCATGAAGGGGTTAAGGAGGGGTAGTAAGATGTCCATGATGATGCAAGAATGGTCAAGCAACATTATAACTTGGAAGTTCTGAAAAGGTTACGGGAATCTGTTTAGAGGAAAAGATAAGAACTCTGACTTGACAAGTGGATTCTCCACCACGACAATGCTCCTGCACATGATGCATTAAGTGCTCGTGAATCCTTTACCCTTAGGCGTGAAGGGGTTAAACTGCAGGCACAGTAGGACAAACACCGCCTTTACTGGTCAAATGCTGCCTTTTGAATGCAAGCGTTTGAATGAAAAATGCTGCGATTGGCTAGGACATCTGTTGACATGACCCCTAAATAAATATACAAATATATCCACATCCATGCAATGATCTGCTTGAATTGGTTTGTGGCTCTACCTGGTATTCCTCTCCATCTCCAGCTGCCTGTGTTCTGCCACAGCTTTTTCCAAAAGTTCCTTATCCTGGGCCAGCTCTTCCTGTTGTCTGGCATTCCTTTCCACTAGAAAAACAAAAAGAGGAGAAGTGATGAGTGACCTGCACTGAGCTCCAGGAGCAGAACCAACGCTGGACTGTCATCAGCCAGAGAATGACCCAACCATCCCTGGGACTGAGGAAGGACTGGATCCCACAGCAGGCACTTCTGTCCCCTGAGGGCTCAGCTGTCACCACTCTTCATCTCAGTGTGCCTGTCCTCTTCTGCTGTCTGCCCTGACACCCTTCATGTGATCCCACAGCAGGCACGTCTGTCACCTGAGGGCTCAGCTGTCACCACTCTTCATCTGCCCTGACACCCTTCATGTGATTCCAGAGCAGGGGCGGACCATTTGGAAACTCGGCACTGCCCGAGGGCCCGGGGTCAGTAGGGGCCCCATGAGATGCCCCTGGTCCCTTTTTCATAGGCTTTTTTGAGTTTGGGCAAGGACACAGGGGCCCCATGATCCCCTATTGCCCGGGGGCCCCATGAGTTGTCAGTCCGCCCCTGTTCCAGATTGTTTACCTGAATGCATTCCCTGCACAGAGGTAACAAATGTTCGGGGCTGAGACTGCGAATCAACTCATCAATTATCATCGATCATAGAAATAGTTGTTAACTTTTTTCATAATCAATTAGTTGTCCTGAATACAGACTTCATTATTGGTTTACATATCAGAAAATACAGTGCAGCACACAGACAGCTCAGTACACCATCCATACATGTCTGTATACACAGTGCAGCACACAGACAGCTCAGTACACCATCCATACATGTCTGTATACACAGTGCAGCACACAGACAGCTCAGTACACCATCCATACATGTCTATATACACAGTGCAGCACACATGCAGCTCAGCACACCGTCCATACATGTCAGTATACACAGTGCAGCACACATGCAGCTCAGTACACCGTCCATACATGTCTATATACACAGTGCAGCACACATGCAGCTCAGTACACCATCCATACATGTCTGTATACACAGTGCAGCACACATGCAGCTCAGTACACCGTCCATACATGTCTGTATACACAGTGCAGCACACAGACAGCTCAGTACACCATCCATACATGTCTGTATACACAGTGCAGCACACAGACAGCTCAGTACACCATCCATACATGTCTATATACACAGTGCAGCACACATGCAGCTCAGCACACCGTCCATACATGTCAGTATACACAGTGCAGCACACATGCAGCTCAGTACACCGTCCATACATGTACATGTCAGTATACACAGTGCAGCACACAGACAGCTCAGTACACCATCCATACATGTCTGTATACACAGTGCAGCACACAGACAGCTCAGCACACCATCCATACATGTCAGTATACACAGTGCAGCACACATGCAGCTCAGTACACCATCCATACATGTCTGTATACACAGTGCAGCACACATGCAGCTCAGTACACCATCCATACATGTCTGTATACACAGTGCAGCACACATGCAGCTCAGTACACCGTCCATACATGTCAGTATACACAGTGCAGCACACAGACAGCAGCTCAGTACACCATCCATACATGTCTGTATACACAGTGCAGCACACAGACAGCTCAGCACACTGTTCATACATGTCAGTATACACAGTGCAGCACACATGCAGCTCAGTACACCATCCATACATGTCAGTATGCACAGTGCAGCACACAGACAGCTCAGTACACCGTCCATACATGTCTGTATACACAGTGCAGCACACAGACAGCTCAGTACACCATCCATACATGTCAGTATACACAGTGCAGCACACATGCAGCTCAGTACACCGTCCATACATGTCTGTATACACAGTGCAGCACACACGCAGCTCAGTACACCGTCCATACATGTCAGTATACACAGTGCAGTACACAGACAGCTCAGTACACCGTCCATACATGTCTGTATACACAGTGCAGCACACAGACGGCTCAGCACACCGTCCATACATGTCTGTATACACAGTGCAGCACACAGACAGCTCAGTACACCGTCCATACATGTCTCTATATACACAGTGCAGCACACACGCAGCTCAGTACACCGTCCATACATGTCAGTATACACAGTGCAGCACACGCAGCTCAGTACACCGTCCATACATGTCAGTATACACAGTGCAGCACACACGCAGCTCAGTACACCGTCCATACATGTCTATATACACAGTGCAGCACACAGACAGCTCAGTACACCGTCCATACATGTCTGTATACACAGTGCAGCACACAGGCAGCTCAGCACACCGTTCATACATGTCAGTATACACAGTGCAGCACACAGGCAGCTCAGCACACCGTTCATACATGTCAGTATACACAGTGCAGCACACACGCAGCTCAGTACACCGTCCATACATGACTGTATACACAGTGCAGCACACATGCAGCTCAGCACACCGTCCATACATGTCAGTATACAGTGCAGCAGCACACACGCAGCTCAGTACACCGTCCATACATGTCTGTATACACAGTGCAGCACACAGACAGCTCAGTACACCGTCCATACATGTCTGTATACACAGTGCAGCACACACGCAGCTCAGTACACCGTCCATACATGTCTGTATACACAGTGCAGCACACAGGCAGCTCAGCACAGCACCTGTTCATACATGTCAGTATACACAGTGCAGCACACATGCAGCTCAGTACACCGTCCATACATGTCTGTATACACAGTGCAGCACACAGGCAGCTCAGCACACTGTTCATACATGTCAGTATACACAGTGCAGCACACACGCAGCTCAGTACACCATCCATACATGTCTGTATATACACAGTGCAGCACACACGCAGCTCAGTACACCATCCATACATGTCTGTATACACAGTGCAGCACACACAGCTCAGTACACCGTCCATACATGTCTGTATACACAGTGCAGCACACACGCAGCTCAGTACACCGTCCATACATGTCAGTATACACAGTGCAGCACACACGCAGCTCAGTACACCATCCATACATGTCAGTATACACAGTGCAGCACACACGCAGCTCAGTACACCATCCATACATGTCCGTATACACTGTACAGCACACACATGCAGCTCAGCACACCGTCCATACATGTCCGTATACACAGTGCAGCACACAGACAGCTCAGCACACCGCCCATACATGTCTATATACACAGTGCAGCACACAGGCAGCTCAGTACACCGTCCATACATGTCTCTATACACAGTGCAGCACACATACAGCTCAGCACACCATCCATACATGTCTGTATACACAGTGCAGCACACACGCAGCTCAGTACACCGTCCATACAAGTCAGTAAGTGCCTGAGAGCTTGTGAATGTGAATGTGTGAGGAGCAATGCCTCATGGGACATATATCATTTTTTTTTTAACATTATATACATTAAGGTAAACATTTTCTGTGCCCCCCACCCTCAGCCCCCCTCTATACTTACCTGATCCCGATCAAGCGCTGTACATGAGAGCAGCAGCACTGCTCTCTCTCTACCTCCTCACAAGACTCAGGGGCAGCAGTGGCAGCCATTGGCACCTGCCGATGACAACCACAGCCTGTGAGGAGGGGGCAGGGGACGGAGCCGAGAGGCACTGTGTGCATCAACAGAAGCACACAGTACGGCTAGGGATTGAGCCGGAGGCGCCAGCGGGGACCCCAGAAGTGGAGGATAGGGGCTGTTGTGCACAAAACCATTACACAGAGCAGGTAACAGGGGCAATCCTACAGGGGTTGCAGGTGCCACAACTGTGACTTGGCCCCATGCTGCAGGGGGCCCTGTATGTCTGCAGGAGGGAGAGGTGGAGAAGCCGGCATTCAGTGGCTGCAGGAGGAATATGAAGAGATAGGTTTCTCTATATGCAGTCACCGCCGTTGCTCCTCCTATACAGCTTTTTTCCTGCTGTCCCCCTGAGCTCTCTGCCCCCCAGTGCTCTTTTCTGCCCCCCCCCTTCCTGAGCTCTCTGCCCCCCAGTGCTCTTTTTCTGCTCTCCCCTCCCTCCCTGAGCTCTCTGCCCCCCAGTGCTCTCTTTTCTGCTCTCCCCTCCCTGAGCTCTCTGCCCCCCAGTGCTCTTTTCTGCTCTCCCCTCCCTCCCTGAGCTCTCTGCCCTCCAGTGCTCTTTTCTGCTCTCCCCTCCCTGAGCTCTCTGCCCCCCAGTGCTCTTTTCTGCTCTCCCCTCCCTGAGCTCTCTGCCCCCCAGTGCTCTTTTCTGCTCTCCCCTCCCTCCCTGAGCTCTCTGCCCTCCAGTGCTATTTTCTGCTCTCTCCCCTGAGCTCTCAACCCCAAGTGCTCTTTTCTGCCTCCCCCCCCCCCCCTCCCTGAGCTCTCTGGCCCCCATGCTCTCTCCTGCCCCTCCCTCCCATGCTCTCTATCCCCCCCCCCCCCCCGAGCTCTCCGAACCCTGTGCTCTTTCCTGGAACCGTCCCTCCCCATGTTCTTTCCTGCTCATACCCCCAAGCTCTCCAACCCCCTGAGCTCTCCGCCCCTCATGCCCTTTTTCCGGCCCCCCCCCCCCCCCCCCCCGTGCTATCCGGCCCTGTGCTCTTTTCTGCAAAATACGGGTAAAGACCAATGTGTGTGTGCTGGAGGAGGGATACGGGGATGTCTGTGTGCTGGAGGAATACGGGTAAAAAACCAATGTCTGTGTGCTGGAGGAGGGATACGGGTAAAGACCAATGTCTGTGTGCTGGAGGAGGGATACGGGTAAAGACCAATGTCTGTGTGCTGGAGGAGGGATACGGGTAAAGACCAATGTCTGTGTGCTGGAGGAGGGATACGGGTAAAAACCAATGTCTGTGCTGGAGGAGGGATACGGGTAAAGACCAATGTCTGTGTGCTGGAGGAGGGATATGGATAAAGCCCAATGTCTGTGTGCTGGAGGAGGGATATGGATATAAAGCCCAATGTCTGTGTGCTGGAGGAGGGATATGGATAAAGCCCAATGTCCGTGCGCTGGAGGAGGGATATGGATAAAGCCCAATGTCTGTGTGCTGGAGGAGGGATATGGATAAAGCCCAATGTCTGTGTGCTGGAGGAGGGATATGGATAAAGACCATTGTGTTGTGCTGGAGTGGAATTTCACTGGGGAAGTACCAATGTGTGTATACAAACGGAGGGTTACAGGGAAAAAACCATCAATGTGTGTGTGAGGGGGATTTCACTGTGGGAAAAAACAGTCTGTGTGTTGGAGGTGTCATGTCACTGGAGAAGGACCAGGAAGAGGAAGAACATAGAAATGATATAGTACAGGATATATAAATTAGTCATAAAGTTATTGTCAAGTAAACCAAGACATACTGATATTGCTACATTTGGGCAACTTGGCTTTAATGACGTCCAATCGTGAAAAGGTTAAAAACAGGCAAGCACCTATAAAGACAGACTCTAATCAATGTATTTCCTTACACTTCTCTTGGATCTGGAGTCTTCGGGTGTCCATGACATCCTTCATCAGCCGATTCCTGGCCTCCTTCTCCAGCCGCAGCTGCTCTGCCCTCTTGGCCCAGGATTTCTCTAGCTCAGCCTCAATCAGCTTGTCCATCTCCCTCTCTTGTCTCTTCTCCTCCTCCAGCTGTTGGGCCAGGTACTGTCTGTAGATCTGCTGCTCTTTCTGCAGCTCCATCTAAATATGAAAAAAAGTCACTTATTACAGTACTCTGGCAGGCAATGAGCAGGCAAAAAATATCAGGTAAGATTAAGCAGAAGGAAGTGTAGACATCTTCCTGGCTTTGCTGTCTGAGTAGTGTAAATCACAGGACTGGCTAAACAGAACAAATGTTCAGATGAATCAGAAATGCATGCCTCACAGATTTTGAGATTTGGCCAACGCTTCTTCAGTATAAGAGTGTAAAGCAATCCTCACCTTCCTCTGGCGCTTCTCTTCTGTATCATCATGAGTGTCTTGCTTGCATGATCTGCTCCATGATCTTCATGTCAAGCGCTAGCTCCTCCTGCTGGTCTCGAGCCAATCGCTTCATCTTCAGGCGGATGGAATGATCCAACATGTTCCTGACCTGAGACTGTTTTTGCTGCTTTTCCCGCAAAGCGCGTTCATCCTCCATCTTCATGAGCTTCCTCTGCTCCGCCTGTTACAGGGATATTAGTATAATTGTTAATGTATCTCTTACATTGCTGAGGGAGAACTCCACATAGCACATGTCCCCGGGTGGCCCCGCCCCTTACATATTTAAGAACTGTCAAGCCAGCTCAGAGGCAGAGGACTGGCAGCCATCGCTGGGAACTGAACCTTTTTTTTTTTTTTTCTTGTTTCGGGTCGGCGGTGGACATCATGATTGACGTTGGATCTACTGCGGGGACATTCTTTTAGTTTTTCTTTTAATAAAGGACTTGTCAAAGACCGTGTCCTGTCTTTTTTTCACATTACACTGTTTGTTTTTTGTGAATGAGTAGTGATACCATGTACCCCGCACTCATTCACATTGGGGGGGGGGGGGGGGGGGATCTGGGAGCCCCCTTGTTAAAGGGGACTTCCAGATTCCAATAAGCCCCCTGTCCACAGACCCCCACAACCACCGGCCAGGGTTGTGGGGTAGAGGCCCTTGTCCCCATCAAAATGGGTACAAGGTGCTTTGGGGGGGGAGCCCCCCTGCCCCAAAGCACCCCCCCATTTTGAGGGCATGTGGCGTGGTATGGTTCAGGAGGAGAGGGGGCACTTGCTCGCCCCCCCTTTCCTGACCTGCCGGGCTGCATGCTCAGATAAGGATCTGGAATGGATTTGGGGGGACCCCAAGCCATTTTTTTTAAAATTTTGGTGTGGGAGTTCCCCTCAAAATCCATACCAGACCCGAAGGGCTTGGTATGGATGGGAGGGGGAACCCCACGCCGTCTGTTAAATTATTTTTTTAATTGCCTGCAAATTCTTTTACATTCAGTTGTCAGTGAGGAACCCCGCTGACAGCTGAAACATTAACACATGGTTGTCACTACTAAAATACCGCATGACTTAATAAAATAACTCATGCTGTATTTTAGTAGCGTTTACTTTTTTCTGACCTCAGGGACGGATTAATTGGTTTTCAATGCATTCCTGTGGGAAACAGTGTTTTGGTTTACAAATTTTTCGCTATACGAAAAGTCCTGCAGAATGAATTAAATTCGTAAACCGAGGTGTTACTGTACTTACCTATTTTCCATCTCCTCTGGTCACATGATCTCTTATGTCAGCCAGTGGTGGCTGCATGGAAGAAGAGAGAGCTCAACAATGGCTGTAATTACTGGCAGCAGTGACATCACCCATAGGCTCTTAGGCCTGTCCGTTGCTGGCCCTCCCTCCACTCCCCTGCAGCCACCTCTGGCTGACACAGGGGGAGCAGCATCACGTACTGGACTGGAATGGCCTGAAAATAAGTAAGTATATGTATATCTCTCATATAAGTTAGTCAGCGTAGGTGTGTTAGGAAGGGGAGGGAGCATTTCTAAGACTAATTGAGTTTAGTTAGTAGTCTACTTTAAATATTTTACCTATTTGTTTTTAAATCTATTGACTTTTTTTAACCACTTCAGCCCTCGCACCTGTACACCCCTTATGGCTGTGAACAATTTTTACATTTCCACTATAGGGCTGTTTATTCAGCAATAGATTTGTCATTACTCAACATAACCAAGTAATATTAATGGAAATAATGACTTGTAAAAAATGCATTTTTTTCTATTTTGACCAGTGTTAGTTTTTTTTTTTTTTTTTTTTTTTTTTTTTTTTTTTAAAGGGGTACGTTTACTATACATAAAAAGTATAGATGTTATTTTATAAGTGGTCCCACTTAAAATGACACTAAAATGGTGTTTCTAATACACAGCCTGGCAAAGTTATTTGCAAATGAAAAAAGGGCACTTTTTATTTATATTTTATAATTTTGCATATTTTATTATGCAACAAATGAAAAAAAAAACAAACAAAAGAATGAAAACTAAACAAGGTAAACACTGTATTAATGCCAAAAAATTACAAGCTAAAAAAAATTATAGCTAAGAGGAGAAGGGAAGGAAGGGGTTAAACTAGACCTAGTTTAACAAGGAATTAAATCAGAAAAAACATATTATTAAAAAAAAAATTACTTCTAAGGTTTCTTAAACTGGTGTTATATGCAGATCAAAGGACATACCTTTCATCTACTGCATATATGAATGAAATGGCAAATATGATGAAATACATTGATTGTATTTTCTCAATGACACTTCCAGACTGTCTGCCAGTGTCATTTTACACAGGAGTGGCTGCATTGTAACAGCCGCTTTTGCTATGAAATACTTAGCAATTCCTGCCTTTCATTTTGACAGCCAGTAGTTGCTGATAATAGTGGCGGGGGGGGGGGGGGGGGGGGGGAGTTGCAGTTGGGGGGGAGAGGGGCTGAAGGTAAGAGATAAAACTCTGTCCAAGTTTTTAGAGGCATGCCCCTTACACTTAAGGTCCTCAAATGGTTAAAAAGTAATAACACTTAAAGTGGTTCTAAAGCCTCAACATTTTTTTTACCTTTAATGCACTCATTTATGTAGTAGCATCCCCCCCCCCCCCTTATACTTACATGAGCCCTCACTTGATCCAGCGCTGTGCCTGTTTGTAGCAGCACTCTCCCTTCGACCTGCTCTGACATGCTTGGCCGAGGTGAATCAAAGCCTATGATAGGGGAGCGGAGGGGGCGGGCCCTACTGTCTGTGTCTATAGATGCAGGCGGCACAGCTCAGAAGTAAGCCTGCATGAGTGCTCCCATAAGAAGCGGCTTCCTATGGAGGACTTCACCAGAGAGAAGGAGCCAGAAGTACCAGTGGGGAACCCGAGAAGAGGAAGTCCAGGGCTGCTCTGTGCAATTCCATTACACAGAACAAGTAAGTATAAACCTAGTTTGTGATTAAAAAAAAAGAAAATTGTATTTACAATCACTTTAAAGCCTAAGTATAGTATTACCAACAACTACATATCCTGCTTTGCAGCTAATATGCAGGAAAGAAAAACACATTAAAGTTCCACTCACACTGTAAAAAAATAAAAGTCAGCAGCTACAAAAACTGTACCTGCTGACTTTTAAAAAACAGCCACTTACCTGTTCCTCGGTGTGTGCCCCGCAGCCCGTTTCACCGGCCATCCTGTATTCTAGGAGGCCGGCATCTTCAGTGTGGGCACCTGGCTGTGACATCTTGTGGCTTCACAGCCGAGTACCCACTGCGCATGTGCAAGCAGCGCTGAGCTTCATGAATGGTCCTGTAGTCTTCTGGGACCTGTCACGTGTCCCAAAAGACTACAGGGAGGGAGGGAGAGAGGACACCTTCTGCTTCCAATCGCCTAGGCGATCGGACTGGAAGTGGGAGCGGGTACCTGTCAAATTCGGGTACCCGCCCCCCCGTCCCCCAAAGGTGCCAATCCTTAATGGGGAGCAGTCCTTAAAGCGAAACTTCCCCTTTTGGGTGGAGCTCTGCTTTAAGGGCTCATTAACACCAGCCTCCTTAGTGTGCACCACATTTTCACTGGGACCCCAAATCACTTACAGTGTTCCTAAAAATGGTGTAGGCCCAATGTTTGCCCATTGTGTTTGACAAACTGCTATGGTGCAAATGAGCCCTTATATTTCCCAAAATGTTTCTCCAACCACCCAGCCTACATTTGAAAATCCAGCGCAGTCTCCCTTTAAAACAAAACTCTCCTTCTAAATACACCTGACATCCCTATCAGAATCTCTGTTTCCTTACCAGTAAGTGGGCCTCCTCCTCTTTGAGCCTTTTCTCCTCCATTTTCTGAGCGTCGGCGGCTGTTCTCTGGGCTTGGAGGACATCCAACATTTCCCGGTTCAGCTCCATTTGCTTTTGGGTTTTCTTCTCCTCGTTCTCCACTTTAGTCAATCGGTCTTTCTCCCAGAGCTCAGCAAACAGGTTCTCTTCTTCCTTCCTCTGCTTCTCCAACTCCTCTTTCAGTGCCAGCTGTGCCATCCTCTCTGTACACACCTCGTTCTGGTGTATCCGTGACCTCAGAGCCCGCAGCTCCTCACACTGCTCCCTGAAACATAGTTACAGTATATAGGAGCATAGTTTCAAAATCTAGTAGGGGCCGCAGTGTATTACTCTTTATTGTTTGATACATTTCCCATCCTTCATGAACCATACTCCCAGTTTGGTGCCCTGTCTCCAATGGGGGATTTTTTCTCACTTCCTGTCTCAGAGACACAACAGGAAATGAGTAGAAAACTCTCCAAAGTGAAATGACCTGAAAACTTCACCTCTACCCCAGAAGTGGCCACCCACCAGGTTACACATTCAGTCTTCTAATTACCACAGCACTCCCTCACCTTGTAGTTCAGTGACTCATTTCTTATCTCAAATCATTCTATCTTCCATTGTAGTGGGCACGTAGGCTTCTTCCAATTATTTCTTTTCATTTCCTCACTTCTTTCTTTTTTTGTCCTAAAGTTTCTACATAAATTTTAACACCGAGCACAATACTATGTTTTAAATGTTATTGTGTACAGATTGGTGAATTATATTCATTGTGCACATATGAGTTATGAAGGTAAAATGCTGTGAGCAAAGAAAATTGTTTTTTTTTCAGGTTCATAGCAAATGTGGGATATTTAAAGGGTTATCTAACAACAACAAAAATGTAATATATTGCATCTTACTAGTCCTTAGATCAGTGGGGGTTAACTTTCTTGAGATGGGTGTCTCAAGTGTAGCCCTCAATCTCACCAAAGGGCCACATATAAAATTCAGTGAATTCTCAATGTGGACATGATGCAAGAGATGATCAAAGACTGCACACATGATTTAAGAGATGGTCAGAGCCTGCAGATATGATACAATAGATGGTCAGAGATTGTGGATACGATACAAGAGATGATCAGAGACTGTGGACATGATACAAGAGATGTTCGGAAATTGTGGATATGATACAAGAGATGGTCAGAGACTGCAGAAACGATACAAGAGATGGGCAGAGACTGCAGACATGATACAAGAGATGGTCAGAGACTGTGGACATGATACAAGAGATGGTCAGAGACTGTGGACATGATACAAGAGATGGTCAGAGATTGTGGACATGATACAAGAGAGGGTCAGAGACTGTGGACATGACACAATAGATGTTCAGAGATTGTGGATATGATGCAAGAGATGGTCAGAGATTGTGGACATGATACAAGAGATGTCAGAGATTGTGGACATGATACAAGAGATGTCAGAGACTGTGGACATGATACAAGAGATGGTCAGAGACTGTGGACATGATAAAATAGATGTTCAGAGATTCTGGATATGATGCAAGAGATGGTCAGAGATTGTGGATATGATACAAGAGAGGGTCAGAGACTGTGGACATGACACAATAGATGTTCAGAGATTGTGGATATGATACAAGAGATGTCAGAGACTGTGGACATGATACAAGAGATGGTCAGAGACTGTGGACATGATAAAATAGATGTTCAGAGATTCTGGATATGATGCAAGAGATGGTCAGAGACTGCAGACATGATACAAGAGAGGGTCAGAGACTGTGGACATGATACAAGAGATGGTCAGAGACTGCAGACATGATACAAGAGATGGTCAGAGACTGTGGACATGACACAAGAGATGGTCAGATATTGTGGATATGATGCAAGAGATGGTCAGAGATTGTGGACATGATACAAGAGATGTCAGAGACTGTGGACATGATACAAGAGATGGTCAGAGACTGTGGACATGATACAAGAGATGGTCAGAGACTGTGGACATGATACAAGAGATGGTCAGAGACTGTGGACATGATACAAGAGATGGTCAGAGACTGTGGACATGATACAAGAGATGGTCAGAGACTGCGGACATGATACAAGAGATGGTCAGAGACTGTGGATATAATACAAGACATAATAAATCTCTCCCACAGTGTTTTATGACAGTTCTCTAAACTATACTTTGACACATTTCAACAAACTAGATCCATGTTCGGATGTGAACATTTGTGTCAGTGCCTACTTTCTCTGAGGGTATGCTACAATGTTTAGGACCATCGCCAGTTTTAAAGTGTATAGGTAAGAAACAGTAAGGGCACTACATCAATGGTCACAAAGTACAGATTTCTTTTTTTGTTTAATTAAAGTGATTGTAACCCCTCACATATACCCAGTGAAGTGACTGGCCTCAGGTGATACACAGAGATTAAACAAATCCTCCTACAAGTTGTACCTGTTCATCTGCAGTCTTCTCTACATCCACCCAAAGTCCTGAATTTCTAAAGGTTGTCTCTACTTTCAGAAAACAGGGGGCGGAGAGCTGAAATTATACACTCTGCAGTGCTCAGTGAGGAGAGCTCTGAGAGCTGATTGGAGGGAAGAAAAACACCCCCTTTAATCTCTTGCCGACCGCGCACAGCCGAATGACGGCTTCACCGCGGCCGGCCAGTTCTGGGTGGACGTCATATGACGTCCTCCCAGAACGCGCTCTCCTGCGCGCCCCAGGGGGCGCGCACCCGGCGATCTCCGTGATCACTGTGTCCTACGGACACAGCTGATCACGTGATGTGGTAAAAGGCCAATCACAGCGGCCTTTTACTACGTGATCAGCGGTGTCCAATGACACGCTGATCACAGGGAAATGCAAGTGCCGGTTCTCGGCTGCACTTTCCTCACGCTGTCAGATCGTGAGGAAAGTACTGCCGAGAACCGGCAGTTGTCAGAGCGGGGATCGGCACCGATCATCAGGGCACTGATGATCAGTGCCCTGATGATCGGTGCCCAGCAGTGACACCCGCAAGTTCCGCCCAGCAGTGCGCCCACTAGCTCCGCCCACCCGTGCCCAGCAGTGCACCCACTTGTGCCCAGCAGTGCCACCCACCTGTGCCACTCTGCAGTGCCACCTACCTGTGCCCAGAAGTGCCACCTACATGTGCCCAGCAGTGCCACCCACCTGTGCCCGCCCACCTGTGCCCACCAGTGCCACCCACCTGTGCCCACCCACCAGTGCTGCCCACCAGTGCCACCCACCAGTGCAGCCCAGCAGTGCTGCCAGTCAGTGCCACCAGTCAGTGCCCAGGGGTTGTGCCAGTCAGTGCCGCCAGTCAGTGCCCAGCAGTGATGCCAGTCAGTGCCATCTATCAATACCCATAATCAGTGTCACCTATCAGTGCCGCCTATCAGTGCCGCCTATCCGTGACCCCTAATTAGTGCTGTCTATCAGTGCTGCCTATCCGTGCCACCTCAGTACTGCCTATCAGTGCCCTTTAGTGCTGCCTATCAGTGCCCATCAGTGCCGCCTATCAGTGCCCATCAGTGCTGCCTCATCAACGCACATCAGTGAAGGAGAAAAAATACCTGTTTGAAAAATTTTATAAAAGAAACAAATAAACTTTTTTTTTTTTCAAATTTTTTGCACTTTTTTTATTTATAGCGCAAAAAGTAAAGCGCCCAGTGGCGATTAAATACCACCAACAGAAAGCTCTATTTGTGAGAAAAAAATGATCAAAATTTCATATGGGTACAATGTTGCATGACCCGCGCAATTGTCAATCAAAGTGCGGCAGCGCTGAAAGCTGAAAATTGGCCTGGTAAGGAAGGGGGTATAAGTGCCTGGTAGGCAAGTGGTTAAACAGCACACAGCAACAGAGCTGAGGCTGCCAATGTCAGGTTCCTCCCCTGTCACCATTTTTCTCTTGGAGTCTGGAAAACTTGTCAGAAGTGATTCATGCTGATAGCAGAGGAACGAGGGAGCAGACAGAAATGACAATTACAGTCATGGCCGAAATTGTTGGCACCCTTGATATTTCTCCAGGAAATCATGTATTTCTCACGAAACGTATTGCATTAACACATGTTTTGCTATACACATGTTTATTCCCTTTGTGTGTATTGGGACAAAACAAAAAAAGGGAGGAAAGAAAGCAAATTCGACATAATGTCACACAAACCTCCAAAAATGGGCTGGACAAAAGTATTGGCACCCTTTCACAACTGCGGATAAATAAGAATGTTACAAGCATGTGATGCTCCTGTAAACTCACCTGGGGCAAGTAACAGGTGTGGGCAATATAGAAATCACACCTGAAAGCAGATAAAAAGGAGAGACGTTCACTTAACCTTTGCATTGTGTGTCTGTCTGTGCCACACTAAGCATGGACAACAGAAAGAGGAGACGAGAACTGTCTGAGGACCTGAGAACCAAAATTGTGGCAAAATATCAACAATCTCAAGGTTACAAGTCCATCTCCAGAGAACTAGATTTGCCTTTGTCCACAGTGCGCAACATTATCAAGAAGTTTGCAACCCATGGCACTGTAGCTAATCTCCCTGGTCGTGGACGGATGAGGAAAATTGATGAAAGATTGCAACGCAGAATAGTCCGGATGGTGGATAAGCAGCCCCAAACATGTTCCAAAGACATTCAAGCTGTCCTGCAGGCTCAGGGAGCATCAGTGTCAGCGCGAACTATCCGTCGACATTTAAATGAAATGAAACGCTATGGCAGGAGACCCAGGAGGACCCCACTGCTGACACAGAGACATAAAAAAGCAAGACTACAGTTTGCCAAAATGTACTTGAGTAAGCCAAAAGCCTTCTGGGAAAACGTCTTGTGGACAGATGAGACCAAGATAGAGCTTTTCGGTAAAGCACATCATTCTACTGTTTACCGAAAACGGAATGAGGCCTACAAAGAACAAAACACAGTACCTACGGTAAAATATGGTGGAGGTTCAATGATGTTTTGGGGTTGTTTTGCTGCCTCTGGCACTGGGTGCCTTGACTGTGTGCAAGGCATCATGAAATCTGAGGATTACCAAAGGATTTTGGGTCGCACTGTAGGGCCCAGTGTCAGAAAGCTGGGTTTGCGTCCAAGATCCTGGGTCTTCCAGCAGGACAATGACCCCAAACATACGTCAAAAAGCACTCAGAAATGGATGGCAAAGAAGCGCTGGAGAGTTCTGAAGTGGCCAGCAATGAGCCCAGATCTAAATCCCATTGAACACCTGTGGAGAGATCTTAAAATTGCTGTTGGGAAAAGGTGTCCTTCCAATAAGAGAGACCTGGAGCTGTTTGCAAAGGAAGAGTGGTCCAAAATTCCGGGTGAGAGGTGTCAGAAGCTTATTGATGGTTATAGGAAGCGACTGATTTCAGTTATGTTTTCCAAAGGGTGTGCAACCAAATATTAAGTTAAGGGTGCCAATACTTTTGTCCAGCCCATTTTTGGGGTTTTGTGTGACATTATGTCATATTTGCTTTTCTGCCTCTGTTTTATATTTGTTCCAATACATACAAAGGGAATAAACATGTGTATAGCAAAACATGTGTTAATGCAATACCTTTTTTGTGTGAAATACTTGATTTTCAGGAAAAATATCAAGGGTGCCAACAATTTCGGCCATGACTGTATGCCTAGCACACACACTGAGAAAATCAGATGAAAAAAATACCACTTTTGAAGAGACCGTACGATAATCTGATCGTTAATACACAACTTTCAAGAGCCGATCATGACAGTTCATGCAATATTATTGAAAGGGACAAACACAAAAAAGTTTCGAGTACAATACCAGAACAAGCGATTTTCCTTTAATCAGTACAGTATTCATCCAAAAAAAATCAAGTGACAATGCATGCTCCGAAACGAAAGAATACATTACAATGCATTACATCACTTCCAAAGTTGTATTCTGTCATACTAAAATTTTCGTAACTTTAGTAACCTCTTCATTTTCGATATGAGACTAGCATGCAAAAAAAAAAAAAAAAAACAGATGACAATTCATCTGATATTCTCATCATGTGTATGAGGCTTTAGTGCTCTTAACTGAGACAAGTTCACACTATAGAGGGATATGCTTTGTTCATATTTCATGTCTGAGGTTTACAACCACTTTAACTATATAATGAAATAAGAGAACCACCATGTTTTGCGGGTTGCAAGGGTTCATCTTCTTCAGGCCGTAAAAAATTCAGAAAATGAACATCTGGAATGTGTGACTGTAGACTGCAGGCTGCTGAATGTGCGCTGTAACAGACCTATTGCAAGTATCACAACCACCCAGTTTAGATCTCATTGTTTAGAATTTTTCAACCCTCAAAATGCGCTAGCTTTATTATATTATTGATTCAATCAAAAACATTTTGGACCTTAAGACCATTGGTGTAACGCCTTTATTACTTCTTACAAATGTATACTTGGCTCTCAGGACCCCCCTTTCCTGATGATGGTACATATGAAGTGAGTCAGTTTTATCAATCAGACACCGGATCAGAGGCGGACTGACAACTCATGGGGCCCCCGGGCAATAGGGGATCATGGGGCCCCTGTGTCCTTGCCCAAACTCAAAAAAGCCTATGAAAAAGGTACCAGGGGCATCTCATGGGGCCCCCTACTGACCCCGGGCCCTCGGGCAGTGCCCGAGTTTCCAAATGGTCAGTCCGCCCCTGCAACGGATATCAAAAATAGGAAATCCAGAGCCCATATGCATGTACACCTGTCAATTATAGTCACTGCATAATAGCACAGGCTTGAATCGGGGGAGATTTACTAAAACTGGAGCACTCAGAATCTGGAGCAGCTCTGCATGGTAGCCAATCAGCTTCTAACTTCAGCTCGTTCAGTTAAGCTTTGACAATTATTATTATTATACAGGATTTATATGGCGCCAAAAGTTTGCTCAGCGCTTTACAATATAACGGGAGACAATACAGTTCAATACAAGAGGGATAGGAGGGCCCTGATCCTTGGAGCTTACAGTCTAAGAGAGGCTAGTGGTACAAAAGGTAATAACTGTGGGGGATGGACTGGTAAAAGGAATAGAAGATTCCATTTTTAGCTGAAGGCAGGATAGGCTTCCCTGAAGAGATAGGTTTTCAGAGATCGACTAAAAGTGGGCAGAGTAGGCGACAGTCTAATATATTGGGATAGAGAGTTCCAGAGGATGGGGGAGGCTCTGGAGAAGTCCTGACAATAAAACATGGAAGCTAATTGGTTACTATGAAGAGCTGCACCAGATTTTGCACTCTCCGGTTTTAGTAAATCCCCTCCCCAATGAAGTATCCAGAACATCCCAAGCCACGAATGTGCATGTCACATGAACTGGCACTTCCATGCATGAATGCCACTGGGAGACATCAGCACACTACTGAAGGGATGATAAACACATTCTTATCACCTTCTATTTAGAATTTGCTCACCTACAACCACTCTTCCCATATTTTTCAAGCAGCCCTCTGACCAAAGTACTTCTACAAGTTATTGACTGCCAACTCATGCTGGGTCTCAATAGTGGCGTGTTCATGTTTTACCTGAACTGCTGGTCACGCTTTTCTACCACCAGTGCCAGCCTTTCCTTCTCCCGTCTTTCTCGGAGGCTCTTGGCTCTCTCCCTCATCTTGGCCTGTCTCTCCAGGGTGGTCTCCTCCATGGACTCCATCTCTTGGATGTACTTCAGCTCCTCTGTCTCCAGCAAGGCCTTCAGTCTGTCTCATAAAACAATAGTATGGGTCAAGCCTGTTTGTGAACCTGTATTCCTTGATGAAATGTTGAGGACCCATTTTCATTTTAAAGGGTAACTCCACTTTCGTTGGATAAAAAAAATAGCAAATGAAAAAAAATAATATAGCATATGCAATTGCAACTCAAGTCATATTATAATTGAATGCTATTAAAAATGACCTTTCCCTTTCATCCTGCAGCACTGTAATTTTCTGTAAAATGCAATGCAGTATGGCAACCTGGAGGCATTCTGCACTCAGATGCTATACAGAACACCCCCTGAAAATGACATTACCTGCTTGTGAGATTAACTCGCTGATTTTCCCAGAAATCTGCACTAAGATGCAAGTCAGATTTTTGGGCATCCCCTGCAGCAAAAATGTAATTTTTGTGATGAGATGCTCCCAAATGTAAATCACATCTAAAAAGATGCAGACCCTGCTGATATCCTCATTAGAGGATATCTCATTAGGTACCTCATTACTACGGTAGCCGATTGATAATTATTAAACCAGTGCCATTAGATTCACTTTCCACATGGACATGAACGTGCAAACTCCAGGCAGGTGGTGCCATGGTTGGGATTCGAACCTGCCAGGAGGAAGTACTAAGCAATAGCCACTGTGCTGCCCACATAAGCTGTGATGTGAGGTGTACTGAACCGAAAGAAACAATTGAACTTAACACAGTCACTTGCAGCTTGTGATGATCTGGGTATGGAATCCTCCCACCTGATCTGTAGCCTCGGTAGCGTAACAGGTAGTCTCTCAGGAGGAGGGCCCGTGTTCTTTTTGTCCCTGTGTTAAGGAGCGATGCCGATGGTGACACCACAATCCGCCTGCCTGCAGGTGTGTCTCTCCTGCTTGTCAGTGATACCAGTGGTCTGCGATCCCTCTTCACTTCTCCGTCTGCAGCCTGGCCTGGATCTCCAGCGTCCCGCACAGCCTTCTCCACACACCCGTTCTCTGTCCCTCACCATCCATTTCCTTCCTCTAAGGTTCCTTGGCTTCTGAATATATATGTATATATATATATCCTGCCCTTTTGCCAGCTCTTCTGGGAAATGTAGTCTGTTTACTCCTTGTCTGAGCACAAAGATCCTGCTACCAGCATACAAGATCAACAAGACTTTTCTTCAGCAGAGTCTGCATAGCTGAACCGCAGAACATTGCTATGTGGTGTTTACTTAACATCTTGCAACCAGTATTAATGTAGGGTGTTACACTAGGTTCACACTAGTGCGGGCTGTGCATCCTGTGTGCTTGTGGGCAAGGCAGCCCATTCAATTGAATGGCCTGCTGTGCCCCCTTTAAACGCAAAAAAAGGTGCATGCACCTTTTCCAAAACGCATCCGCAGGGAAACCTATTGGTCTTTTTGATCACAATCACGCTGCAGGCTGAGATGCTAGGGGGTGCCATTCGGAATAAATGGCAGCCCCGCATGTCAATCAACAGCAATGCGATTTGGCTGTGGGTGGTTGTGGGAACAAGTGTGATACCTGCACCCGCAACCAACCCGCAGCCTGCAGACCAGTGTGAATCAGGACTCAATCTGTGAGTGCATTTATCACTGCCCTCCCCCCAGTTTAAGAATGCTGCTGTCCACAGGTGTCTCTATTGCTCCTTCATCCAGAAGTGGGGAACCCTAATACAGGAGGTGTGCAATGGCTGGATCAGCAGGTGAAAACAGAGGGGAGGAATAAGCATTAAAAAAAGAAAACCAATGCAGTCATCTAATGATTGGTAAGCTGAAAATAATACAGTTTTTGTTTAGGGTTTAATACTGCTTTAACAATGAAATGTAGTACATGCATTATTCACGCAGTAGGGGCTTGTTTACACTTGCATTTGGGGGGCAGTAAAATCCTGTAGTTGAACCACCTTTTTACTGCCCCTCAACCATGCTCCCTTTAGCTGGAGGGGAGTTACACATGCTGCAGCAGGAATTATGCGGCGGCCATTATCACCCGCCAAACGAGATCCATTCAAGTGAATGGGGTTGCTTTGTAATCTGTGAAATGATTCAAATTTCAAAGCCCCAACTTCAAGATAATCAAATCATTATACATGCTGGTGCTGCATGAATAGACCGATATTAGACCCTTCTGTAATATTAGACCAAAATGGCTATTTTGCGTCATACCAGAGAAATTACATGACAATCATTACATTTAGCTGACCTGGGCTTTCAATAAACAAGACAAATACAGTGTTGCCATTCACTTGACATTGCATAGTAAAGCGTATCTAAACCACAAAACCAAAACATAATATATTGCAATATATTGGTCCATAAAGCCCAACTTGAAAATGATCCCTTGCCGTGGGGTTGTGCCTACACTGCAGAGGGTAATTCCTTCTTTAGTCTAGGCCGGACAGTAAAAGAACTTTTACTTACCCTGTTCCCCCATGCTCCCGAGGTGGACTGTCCCTTGGTGTCATCACGTTCAAGGCAGTGCTATGGACCCTACATTGGTCCTGAGGACCTTAGACTGCTGGAGTAAAACGTACAAGACTCTGTGGGGACTGGTCTAGCAGCGAGGAGGAGCGAAAGATTGGGTGAGCAAATCTACTTTAAAAAGCCCCCCTAGACCTAAAGGAACAATTAACCCTTGCAGTGTGGGCACAGCTCCACTGCAAGGGATGATTTTCACATTTCCCAGTGTTAGTCTTTAAATTTGGTGGCTAAATTAGTTTTTCCTTTTTCAGGCTAAGAACATTTACAGCAAGCACAGAAAATATCTGTTGATCCTGTCAGAAATGCAGTGTCTTTGTTACTTCAACTGAGATGAAAACACAGCACAAACATTCTTATTTTGTAAACTACAATTTCCATCAATCCACCATGTAATGGAGATAAACAAAGGAAGATATGAGAAGTGAGTGTAGACATGAAGGGGATGTTTGTTATTTTCAGGATTACCAGGTGGAAATAAAGGGAAAAAAAGACTGAAAAAATAAAAATAATGGAGTCATCACACTCTGCTGGTAAGCTGCAATCGGCAATATATTACATTTTTGTTCTTGGGTTTAGATACGCTTCAATAACTAGTAATAATGACCTGTCTCTGCGTTCCTCAATCTGCATCTGGTACTCCTCCATTGTCTCATTCACCTTCCTCTGGACCGTGTTATGCAGTATCTTGTGATCGGTGAGCAGCTCCCATTTGCTCTTCAGATCTTTATAGTCATTCTCCTTGGTGAAAGCCAACATCTGATCACGCAGGTCATCCCGTTTCCTGCGCTCTAGTGTAATGTAGTCAAGTGGTCTGCTGGTTGGGAATTTGGCTTTCTGCATGAAAAGGGAAAGAAAAGTCACTGAATCGTTTATATCCAGCTTCATTCAGCTTTTTAAATAGAAATGTTGTCAAAAAAAAAAAGGAGAAACTAGGCTCTGGCTACAATGGCAGATCTAGGCTATCTGATGTGGGGGTGCAGTTAAAAAAAAGTCAGGATGCAAATGTCAATCGTGTCACAGAGATGCATGGGACTAGTATTTCTTACTCACTCGGCACGCTTCTGTACCACAAGTCACAACCCGGGAAGTAACGTCTGACAGGTAGTGCAGAGGAGGTGCAGGAGTGAACAGGGAATGCTAGTATGTATTAGGCTATCTTTAGATTAGGATGATTAAGCAGAATCTCTGCATCCTTATATCAGGTGTCCCTGTCAGAGTCCCTTCTTATATCAGGAGCCCTCATCAGAGTTCTCCCTTACAGCAAGGTTCCTATAAGAGTTCCCCTTACATCAGGTGTTCCTATCAGAGTAACCCTTTACATCAACTGTCCTCCCCATCAGAGTGTCCCCTTACATCAAATATCCCCATCAGAGTGTCCCTTACTTATCCCCATCAAATGTCCCCATCAAAGTGCCCCCTTAGAGCATATGTCCGCATCAGAGTACCCCTTTACATCATAGTGCCCATGAGAGTACCCTTTTACATCAACTGTCCTCATCAGAGTGTCCCCTTACATCAAATGTCCCCATCAGAGTGCCCCCTTACATCATCTGTCCTCATCAGAGTGTCCCCTTACATCAAATATCCCCATCAGAGTGCCCCCTTACATCATCTGTCTTCATCAGAGTGCCCCCTTACATCAAATATCCCCATCAGAGTGCCCCCTTACATCATCTGTCCTCATCAGAGTGCCCCCTTACATCAAATGTCCCATTCAAAGTGCCCCCTTACATCATAGTCCACATCAGAGTACCCTTTTACATCACCTGTCCCCATTGGAGTGCTCCTTGACAGAATTGTTTTAATTCAGCCACATTGGAGGGCTTTCGAGCATGAATGGCCTGTTTAAGGTCATGCCACAACATCTCAATCAGATTTAAGTCCAGACTTTGACTAGGCCACTCCAAAACCTTTACTTAGTTTTTTTGTTTTTTTTTTGAGCCATTCAGAGGTGAACTTGCTGGTGTGTTTCATTGCCCCGCTGCATAACCCAAGTGCGCTTGAAATCCTTCAGGATTTTCTGGTAGAGGGCAGAATTCATAGTTCCCTCAATTATGGCAAGTCGCCCAGGTCCTCAAGCTGCAAAGCAACCCCAGACCATCACATTACCAGCACCATCTTTGACTGTTGGTATGATGCTTTTTTATGAAATGCTGTGTTAGTTTTACGCCAGATGTAACAGGACGAACGACTTCCAAAAAGTTCAAGTTTTGCCTCATCAGTCCACAGAACATTTGCCCAAAAGTCTTGGAGATAATCAAGATGTTTTCTGTCAAATGTGAGATGATTCCTTGTGTTCTTTTCAGTCAGCAGTGGCTTTCACCTTGGAACTCTCCTATGAAGGCCATTTTTGCCCAGTCTCTTTCTTATTGTTGAATCATGAATACTGACCCTAGCTGAGGCAAGTGAGCCTGCAGTTCTGTAGATGTTGTTCTGAGTTCTTTTATAACCTCTTGGGTGAGTTGTTGTTGTGCTCTTGGAGTAATTTTGGTAGGTCGGCCACTTCTGGGAAGGTTCATCACTGTTCCAAGTTTTCTCTATTTGTGGATAATGGCTCTCACCGTGGTTTGCTGGAGTCTCAAAGCCTTAGAAATGGCTTTGTAACCCTTTCCAGACTGACACCTGTCATTTACTTTGTTTCTCATCTGTTCTTAAATTTTTGTGTTGCTTTTTGAAATCTTTTGGTGTGCTTCACTTTGTCAGACTGCTTCTATCTTGATTCACCAGGTCTGACAGTAATCAGGCCTGGGTGTGGCAAGTGAAATTTACTAAAAATGTGATTAATCGCAGTTCACTCATGATTTAGCAGGGGGGGGAGAGGCAATTACTTTTTCACATAGGGCCAGGCAAGTTTGGGCAGTTTTTCCCCTCAATACATTAAATCATCATTTAAAAACTGCATTTTGTATTTACTCTGGTTATTTTTGTATACAATTAAAATGTATTTGCTGGCATAAATCATTTAAGTGTGACATATATGCGAAAAAAAAAAATCAGGCAGGGGCATATACTTTTTCACAGTACTGTATCTAACCCTGTAAAGAAACGATCTATATACGTACCTATTCTGAAGCCGCTCTGGTCCAGTCACATGATCAGCTGTCAGCGGCAGGATCTATGTAGAGGAGAGGCAGCCAACAATGGCTGTCCCATGGTAAGCCTATGGGTGACGTCATCTACCAGGCATTTGCAGCCGCTGTCAGTGATCTCTCCTCTACACAGATGCAGTAGCTGGAGAGATCATGTGACTGGACCACAGTGGCTTTAGAATAGGTAAACATACAAATCTTTTCTTTTCAGGGTTAGATGGAATAGGCTCTCCTGCCCCCCATAAGCCCCCCCCCCCCCCCCCCCCCCCTCCCCCCGTGGTATTTTATGATTTATGAATTTTATGGAATTTTAAAAAAATATACTTTTTTTTAAGTCTTCTGGCTGGTCAGTTGACATTTCTTCCTCTACTGATATTCTCCAACGGCAGGCAGTCCTTGGAGCTGCAGACAGCAGCACTTACAAAGTTTTCTGCATTAATACATTACAAATGAAGGGCATCATGATGGAGCCCCCTTAAGGGGCAGCGTCATAACACATTGCATTCATAGTATGACCTCATGCTTCTAAATTGAATTATATTGGGGAGGGGGAATCATTTAACCTGATAGACTGGGGGCATCTTGTGGTCAAAAACAAGTACTGCAGCAGACAGCTCGGGATTAAAAGGGAGGGTATTCACTGCCAATGGACCCATTTATTTCAATATGAATTCACCCTGAGCTGGACTTGCAATGATGTATTTAAGTTATGTGATAAGTTGTGGAACATCCAACCTCTTCATCTCCTAAGCCTTAGAAAACAGATGGCAGAAAGGTAAGACTTACCACGGCCACCGAATGAGGGGTGGGCCCAGTCACCTCCCTGCAGCGCAGTGGTCTGCTCCTCTGGCTTAGCATCATCATGGTTCCCTCTATTCAGATATCTAATGAAACAAAATAATTTTTCAAACAGAGTGATAAATTATAGGTAGGTTATATTGATCTGCACAAAGGCAGTCACACTCTTAGATGCTGATCAGGAATACATCTGCTTCACTGACAACAGAGCAAATAAAGCCCCGAACTCAGTACTGCCTCTCCCACTCACTAGATGTGTCATTTTAACAAGCTACATATATATATATATTTTTTTTTATTATTATTTATTATTTTTTTTTGTATGTGTATTCCCTATAAATGGTATCCTAGTACAGGCAACCAACTGTCTGTACCTGCTAATGCAGGCCATAGATGGGTCGAAAACCGGACTTTTTTTAACAAAAGGCAAAAAATCGGTCATTCAATAGGCAGACGTTACCATTAACGGTTAAAAAAAAAAAAAAATCATCCGATTTTCGTCCTGTCTACGGCCGGCATTTAATTACTTCTGTCCCTGCAGAGCGCTCCGCTATTATATTTGACATGAAAAAGTATTGAGGTTGCAACATTGTATCTATTTGTATCCATTTCGGATACAGATGTTTTTATTCGGATACAAATAGATACAATGTTGCAACCGCTATACTTTTAAATGTCAAATATAATAGCAAAACTGGAATTCTTTTTCTTCTTCTTTCTCTTCTTCTTTTTCTTCTTCTTGCAGGTCATCGCTCATGCGCAGATTTTTTATCGGTAAAAAGATCGGCTGATTTGCCCATCATTGCCGCGAAAATTGGCCGATTTTTTTCAAACTTTACCGATAAAAAAAAATGTGCCAAAATCCCAAAAAAAACGGCCGACCTATTAACCCACTAACGATCCGAAAATCGGCCGATTTTCGACCCATCTATGGCCTGCATTATACTGGGCTTTAATTTCTGTAGGAGGTAGCAGCTGCAGGATGAGACCAGTGACCTGTGGCTGGAATGTTAGAGTTAGTACTCCCTAGTACCATGTGTACTGGCACCCCTCTCCCTGGACTGCAACCTAAAAAGGTTTAGTACATGATTTGTTATACTGATTGCAAAAACATGTGAAACTCTTCCTCAATAACCACAGGTTTGCACTTGCACACTTGGATAAAGGACATTATCAGTTTTCACTGCCTGCTGTATAATATTTGTGGTCGTCACGGACTCTCAGTGATTTATTTGATTGCACTATTCACACACTTGTTTGCACTTTATATATATGAGTTTACAGCGCTGCACGTTTATGATATACGTTTACATTGGGACAGTTACCAATACTTTAAGTGCTAACAGCTATTTCATTTTGCACTTTATATATTCGAGTATGATACAAGATATTTATGTTTCATGTTTACAGCGCTGCACGTTTATGATATACATATGAAACAGCTCTACCACCTTTTGTGTGTTTGCTTAAATTTGGTAATTGTCACCTGCCGTGACAATGTGCACCTCCCATCCCAAGCTGAGACGGATGGAGTCGGCACGTCACAGGACAAAAGTCCCCCTTCATCAGGGCTACAATAACATGACATAATATTAATTATGGTGATCATTGATAAAAACAAAAGAAAGTACAAAAAAATATCCATATCCATATTAGAGGTATTCACTAATGTTTTCAGTAATAATTCCAATATGGATGATGATTTTTTCCTTTTGCCGTATTTATTATTCTGAGTTCATGCACTTTCTGTAAAGGAGGATTTTTGGGACCCAAAAAGCATTCGGCTGCCTTTTGTTTTCCTGTTGTCACTTGTGATACCAATAAAGGATTTTGGACTCTTGAGATGAATGTTTGGTGCACTTTTTGGCATGTAATCATTATATGACTTGAAGGTAGATCAATAGATATACATAGCAGGCATTAGGCAGGTGAAAGTATATACTTGTACAATACAAGCAGGGAAATTTTTGGGGGTTTTTTGGTCTACTTGCCTTTGCGCAGGATTTTAAAGGCTCATTTAGGCCCTGTTCACGCTGGCATTAAAAGCAGGAGTTTAACCATTTTACTGCCAGATCCATACGGGGTTCGGACCTGACAGCGGGGGGGGGGGGGGGGGATGGTTTACACAAATTCCCTGTGGCTGACTACCATGGTAGAAGGTAGGGAGCAGAGCGAACACAAATCCGCTCTCCTGTCCTTCTTGGGTCTTGCTGACCCAGAAGTGATGTGTAAAATGTCACTTGCGGGTCTTCATGTCAGTTGCACTGGCTACTATGGCCGGGGGAAGAATCTAATGTAGCATGATCTGCACTGCATTACATTCAGTGGAGCAAAACGGAGACATCTAGGATCTTCTAGACCCTGGATGTCTCCTTAAAGAGAACCTGTCTCCAAAAAAAAAACACCAAAAAGTCCCCTATGGTATAAAAAAAGGTAACTTAAAAAAAGAATGTACTGCTACAGGGTGGAACGGTTTCACGTGTGTGTGATTTGCATTCCTGGGTAGGGGATGTGTGCCCATGCCGCTATTGGCTGCTGGGGATGTCAACCATCGGGTCCCAGTCCACGATTCCCAGCCGGCACTCAGTGATCATCAGCAAAGTTGACGGGGAGAGAGCTGTGTGTAAACAACACAGGTCTCTCTCCTGTCAGCATGGACATGCTGCTTTCTCTCTTTCTACACAGTAGAGAGATACAAAGCAGCATGTCTCCCTAGTAAAACAGCACACAATGTAAAACACACACACAGCACACAGTTAACCCTTTGATCATCCCAGATGTTAACCCCTTCCTGCCCAGTGTCATTAGTAGTCTCAGTGCTTTTTATTAGCATTGATCAATGTATTAGTGTCACTGGAGATGTCAGTGGCAATTAGTTCCCCCCCAAGTGACAGAAACGACCGCCGCAGTCCCATTTATAAGTCGCTGATCGCCGCCTATACTAGTATAAAGAAAAGAAAAAAAATTCCAGTATATATACCGCCATTTATAGATGCAACAACTTTCACGTAAACCAATTAATTTACACTTATTGGGATTTTTTTTTAGCAAAGACATGTCGCAGAATACATTTTGGCCAAAGTTTATGATTTTTTAAATTTTTTTTATTAGACATGTTTTATAGCAAAAAGTCAAATATAAGAAAAATTAATAATAGCGCCTATGGTCAAAATTATATAACTTACTAATAGTGTACCAGCTGCAAAAAATCACCATATATAAAGTGTACCAATAAATAAATAATTTGCGCTAGTAAATGTGTATAAATATATAAATGTATATAAAGAAATCATCAAATCATAAGTCCAGAAAAAAATATATATATGCCAATACCACAAAAAAAATATAAAAAAACTTTAAAGTGCAAAAAACTTTTGTGCAAAAAAAAGTGTCTAAATATGAAAAATTCCACCAAAAAACCTTGATAATATAATGGCAGATCATCCATAAATATATCTTCAGAAACGGAAACTCTGCAACACACCGATCCTCATCGATCGAAATAACAGGATGAAAAACTTTGTAGTTAATCGAAAATCCACTTCTCCAATAGATAAAGGACCACCTTCAAACGTATCCATGGGGGGAAATGCCAACACTCGAGAGAAACAGAAAGACTTCATGGTGCAATATTATAAAAACCAATTCCTATATTAGGTACTCATTGCACTTACTCAAGAGGTGTCCCAGCCGACACCAGCATCAACAGCATAACAGCAATCACATAAACGAGCCTGGCTACTCAGCACATGCGCAGTAGCTGGCAGCCGAAAACGTAATGACGTCACATCAATCAAGCTCCGTCCTACGCGTTTCGTCATCGACGTCCTCACGGAGCGGTATTGGCATATATATATTTTTTCTGGACTTATGATTTGATGATTTCTTTATATACATTTATATATTTATACACATTTACTAGCGCAAATTATTTATTTAAAAAGTCAAATATATTGGAGTTTTTTTTCAAAATTGTCATTCTTTTTTTAAAGTGCAAAAAATAAAAAAACACAGAGGTGATCAAATACCACAGAAAGAAAACTCTATTTTTGGGAAAAAAATGACACAGTAGCACAGCGCCGCATCGCGAAAAATGGCCTGTCCTCTGGAGGGCGAGTGGTTAAATAGTAAAAAAAAAATGTAAGTTACACCCAAGCACATAAACCACCCCTCCCCAAAAAAAAACATTTTGAGGTCACCTACCCACAAACATATGCAATGTCTGAACATAAACATAGGTGTCGGGAGTGCCTACGCCTGAAAACGTTGATTGCGATACACATGTTACATATCGCCACACACGTCAGAGCAATAGCAATATTTCTAGCACCAAACTGAATATATTTTCTGTAACGCCAAACTTATGACCTATAGGGGGCTCTTAAAGTGTCGCCTATAGAAAATATAGGGTAGTGACGTTTGCTGCCATTTCATAGGTGCATACAAACTTCACCTTTGACATGTTGGGTATCTATTTACTCGGTACAACCTCGTCTTTTATATTTTACCAAACGGGTCATTTATTGTGTTTGTTTTCCCTAAATTTAACTTTAGTGTATTTTTTACTGAAATTTTGCATTGCCTAGACCTTTGTGCTAATATTGTTACATAGTGAGTCTGGCTGAAAAAAGACAAAAGTCCATCCAGTTCAACCATTAAAAAAAAAAAAAGTTATAATCCTACACCCACAGTTTAGGAAGGCAAAAAAAACTCAGCAAAGCATCATCCAATTTGCTCCTGCATCTGAAAAAATTCCTTCCTGATCCCCCGAGAGGCATTCGGATATTCCCTGGATCAATTGTGTGACATAAAAAATTGCTACCACTATTTTATTCTCTAAGTTGTCTGCTTTCAGAAAATATATATTGTTTTGGGGGGTGTGCAATCTTCAGGTAAAATGATTTTTACATGTGTGCAACAACCGCAAAAACGGCTCTGGCAGCAAAAAGGGTTAAAAATGTACGGCTCCGATCGCACTGCATACGAATCGCATGTGATTGGCACACGAATGTGGTGCGGTTCCTGGAGGAATCACATGTGATATACCGCACCGCATATATGTGAAC